ATCATAGTCGGCATGGACTGGTTGGAACGGTTCTCTCCTATGAAGGTGCATTGGGGTAACAAGTGGATGACAATACCCTATCAGCAGTCACATGTCACCCTCCAGGGAATCACTGATGAGTACCCCCGCTGTGCATTTGTACAACTGTTCCAGATTTATGATGAAGCAAGTTCTCGCCAAGTTTCTGATGTGCTTCCAGAAGTGCAGAGTGTACTGGATGAATTTCAGGCCCTCTTTGCAGCACCATCTAAGCTGCCCCCACAACGTGCATGCGACCACCGCATTCCTCTCGTTGCGGGTGCTCAACCAGTGGCAGTTTGTTCTTATCAGTATTCTCCGACACTTAAATCAGAAATAGAGTCCCAAGTGACTGAGATGCTTCAATCGGGCATGATCCAGCCTAGTACCAGTGCATTCTCCTCACCGGTATTGCTAGTCCGAAAGAAGGATAAGTCTTGGAGGTTCTACGTCGATTACCGGCTACTTAACTCCTTGACTATGAAATCCAAGTTTCCAATCTCGGTCATCGATGAGCTATTGGATGAGCTTTCTTCGGCCCGCTGGTTCACTAGTTTGGACTTACGTGCCGGCTTCAATCAGATTCGGTTAGCTCCCGGAGAGGAACATAAAACGACATTCCAAACTCATTGGGGACACTTTGAATGGACTGTAATGGCCTTTGGTCTGACAGGGGCTCCGAACACATTCCAGGGTGCAATGAATGTGACTATGAAACCTCTCCTCCGCATATGTGTGCTCGTCTTCTTCGACGACATACTTATTTATAGCAAGACCCTCGAGGAGCATGTGGAGCATATCAGGCAAGTGTTTCATCTGCTGGCAAAAGACAAATGGCTGCTGAAGCGCTCTAAGTGCCAGTTCGCACGGCAAAGTATCGCTTATTTGGGGCATGTGATCAGCGTAGAGGGGGTGGCCACGGATCCATCGAAGATACAGTCTATTCATTCATGGCCAACTCCTACTAATGCAAAACAGTTACGCAGTTTCTTGGGGTTAGCCGGATATTACAGGAAGTTTGTGCGGCATTTCGCCATCCTGGCCAGGCCTCTTAATGATCTGCTCAAGAAAGGTACTATGTTCCTATGGACATCAGTACATGATGGGGCGTTTACTTCTCTCAAGAATGCATTGGTCACTGCTCCGGTTCTTGCTCTTCCCGACTTCTCTCGACCATTTCAAATATAGACCGATGCTAGTGACATGGGAGTGGGTGCAGTTTTGCTCCAAGATGGACATTCTCTTGCTTTTATAAGCAAAGCTCTAGGCCCCCGAACGAGAAGTTTGTCTACTTACGAAAAGGAGTATTTGGCTATCATGGTGGCTGTTGACCAGTGGCGCTCGTACCTTCAGCACGCCGAGTTTGTTATCTTCTCGGACCACCGCAAGCCTCATCCCATATTGTCGATCAAGACTTGCACACACATGGCGATTGAAGATGTACACCAAGTTGGTCGGGCTTCAAAGATACACGGTTGTTTACAAGCCGGGCACCTCCAACATGGCTGCTGACGCCTTGTCCCGCCATCCGGCTCCTCCTGCGCAACTCAACGCAATTTCCTATTCCACACTAGAATGGCTATCTGAAGTCATTGCTGGGTACGACAGTGATTCTGCTTCTTCTAAATTGTTGCAGGAGCTAGCAGTTGCTCCTTCTTCGCACCCACCCTTCACGTTGGTCAGTGGAGTTCTCCGTTACCGGGGCCGCGTGTGGATTGGCTACAACCACAAGCTGTAGCAATAGATCATTCAGGCCTTCCATGATTCCCCCTTGGGTGGACATTCCGGCTTTCCGGTCACTTATGCTAGAATCCGCAAGCTGTTCGCTTGGAAGGGTCTCAAGTCAGATGTCAGGGAGTTTGTCAGGGTTTGCACCACCTGTCTTCAGGCTAAACCAGATCGCTGCAGGTACCCTGGACTCCTCTCTCCCCTTCCTATGCCGACTAAATCCTGGCAGGTCATATCTCTTGATTTCATTGAAGGTCTTCCTCAGTCGGGTTCTACAAACTGCTTGTTGGTAGTTGTCGATAAATTTAGCAAGTTTGCCCATTTCATTCCACTACAACACCCTTTTACAGCATAACAAGTTGCTAAACTCTTTCTTGATCACATCTACCGCTTGCATGGTTTGCCCACACACATCATTTCTGATAGGGACCGTATATTCACAAGCAATTTTTGGCGTGAACTTTTTCACATGGAACAAACTTCTCTATGCATGAGCTCTGCTTACCACCCACAATCCGATGGGCAAACCGAACGAGTCAATCAATGCCTTGAAACTTTTCTTCGTTGTTTCGTCCACACTTGTCCCAAGCAGTGGATCCGCTGGATTTCCCTTGCCGAATTTTGGTACAATGCTTCACCTCATTCTGCTCTAGGCCACTCTCCTTTTGAGGTCCTTTATGGGCACCCCCACGTCATTTCGGCATAACCCCTGATTCAGCCATAGAGAACTCTGATGTGGAGACCTTCATGTCTGAAAGACAGGTCATGATTGCTGTTGTTCGCCAGCACTTGCTTCGTGCTCAACAGCGTATGAAACTTCAGGCGGACAAAAAGCGATCTGAGCGATCCTTTTCTGTTGGGGACATGGTGTACTTGAAATTACAGCCTTATGTGCAGAGTTCTTTGGCTCCGAGAGCACACCAAAAACTCAGTTTCTGCTACTTTGGCCCCTACAAGATCCTCGAAGCAATTGGTACAGTGGCTTATAAACTGGAACTTCCTCCGGCTCATCCATCCACCCTCTATTCCATGTGTCCTCGCTAAACCAAATACCACCACACAAGTCACAGTGTCACCGACATTCCAGAGTGATTTTGGTCTTTAGGTTCCCGAGTTCATCCTCAAAAGGCGCCTTCATCCTCGCCAAGATGGTGCTGTTGCTCAAGTTCGGTGAAGTGGTCTAACATGGATGTGGACCTTGCCACACTAGGAAGATGTCAAGCATTGCATCGAAAGTTCCCTCTTGCGCCAAACATGGGGGCATCTTGGTTCCCAAGGGGAGGGGGTGTCGGACCCTTCCACCGAGGCGTCTCAAGACAATGGGCCTCGAAGGAGTAAGCGGCGCCGCCCAGGAGCTCTTGAGTCTTTGGCCCACAATGGGCAAGCATCACCGTGTTCATGAGCCAGCTAAGGATAAGTAGCGCTAAAGGCGAGAAGGGGAGATAAGCTTGTAAACATCAAACCAATTTATATTATTCTACTGCTACTCAACCGGCCTTCGTCGGTCCGGGTACTCGTATCGTTGTTGTTCCGTTCTCGAGCTCGGCATCCCGGCGGCGATCAGCCAGGGGTGCTGACAATCATGTTCTTCCCTAGCAATCGGATGACAATGGTTGTAGTCAGGCATATAGAAAGTATGCCAGGTTTGGGCAGATAGGAGCGTTCCTCGCTGTCGTTGACATTCTTGTGTTACTCGTGCTCAAGTGCGTGCCGATCTATTTGGCTGAACCTGTGAATAGAACACAGAGGGAAAGCTTCATGGCATGCGAATTGATAGTCGAAGCCATTTCATGTCATATGAATCAAGACTGTCTCATGATGGAAGCTTGCTAGCTGTTGTGGTTGGTTGCATGTCAGTAGTATGTTACCTTTTCGGCTAGTATTAAAGCCGGCTGAAGCTGTTTTGTTGGGAGAGAAAAATATTGTAGATTCTAGCTGATAAGCCGGCTGATAAGATTGCCTAGTGAATCCTGTGTGGGCTGTGGGAGTTTGATCTGAATAATTCTGTGTAAAACGACCTTCTTCTGTAATTCTAGAATCAGTTTATTATAGTGAATCGAAAGCAATCCCCTGTGCTCTTACAGTCTTACTACTGCATCCAAACTTGCCCACAACTAAAGAAACTATGCATACTCCGTTTGGCACGGCTTTGACTCGTGAAAAATAGCTCTGCTCTGCCTCGTATAGAAAAGTAACTTTTTCTGGCTTTGACTTATTTTGTACGAAAACGTTTGGCAAAACGGCTTCTTCTGGCTTTTCAGATTGGAAAGAAGATGTCAAATGTCCAAAATACCCTTATATTTTTTTTTTTCTTTTCTTTTTCTTTTTTTCTCTTCATTTTCCATTTCATTTTCTTTCCTTTTCCCCTTCTCTCTCCTTATCCGATCGGCCTTCCCTTCTTTTCCCCTCCTCTCTCCTTATCCGATCGGCCTTTCTTTCCTTCTTTCTCTCTTGGGCGGCGTCCAGGCCACCACCCCGTGCCCCCACCTCCGTGCTCTCCGCTGGCGCATTAGGGGTCTGCGCCACCGCCGCCGCCGGTGCTCCACCCGCGCCGCCGAGCTCCACCATGGATGCCGCCTCCACTCGCGTAGTCAAGCTCCACAATGGCCGTGGCCTCGGCACGCCACCGAGATCCAACATGGCCGCGGCCTCGGCTCACCGCCGTGCTCCGCTTCGGCTGCTGAGCTTCGGCCCGGCCGTGGGCTCCGCACGCTCCGCCGGCCACCACCCCCGCCGCCGCCTCCACGCTGCTGCCGAGCTCGCAGGCTTGTCTGATGGCAAATGTTGTAAGTTCTGTGAAGTAGCAAGGGCACATGCATACTTTAGTATTTTGGGTGGAGGAATGAGCCGGTATGAGCCACTATTTTTGGTTTCTCATCGGCGAAGAACCTAGAGAGCGGAAAAGGCGGGGCTTCTCCTGGCTTTTCCTCGTGAGCCATTTTGAGTTATAGCGTTTGGCAGGGCTTCACCATGAACCGCTCAAGAAGCCGCTCGATGAGCCCTGCCAAAGGGGGCTCACTTATGTAACAAGTAACTGCCATGGTCAGTACTTGAGCACATTGCCTGACAGAAGATTTTCTATTCATTGTTACGTACATCATTACATGACACAAAAAACATCAGAAACAGGTCCAGCTGACATAACTACCGAGCACACCATTCCACTTTCTATGTTCTACAACCTACAGCTGCCGATCTTTCAAAAAAAAAAATCTACAGCTGCCGTGCTCCTGTTTCTGCTCGCCGCTCGCTGCCTACGCGTCGGCCTTGAGGACGAGCCCGAGCTGCCGCATGAGGCTAGGATGGCCATACTCCGCGATGCCGAGACGCTGCAGGTCCCGCGGGTGGATGCTCTCGTCGGGCAGCGCCGCCCTCTCCATCTCCAACAGCTGTCGGCGAAGGTTCGCCCTGTAGAGCAGACCGGGCATGTAGACAGCCTTGGGCGCGGCACGCTGGACGGCTTGGACCTTCTTTGCAGCACTCTGCGCCACTTGTGATACCGCCACCGTCAGTGGAGCCGGGCCGCCGATACTGTCGCCGGAAACGCTCTCTGCTTGTATGGTGCTCTGCGCCGTCCCTGATGCTGGCTCCGACGGTTGCTGCGCAGACGTGCCCATGATCTGATCGGAGTCACTTTCGCTACCAGAGTCGCTGTCCGAGTCTGAATCACTTCTGCTGCTTGAGCTCGGCCTGTTGCCGGTTTCGACGATGGGGGACAGGCCACAGATGTCGATGTACTCTTCGTCCTCCTGCTCCAGAACGACTTCGCCTTTGCTCTCATCGGCGAGCTTGTCGTCCTTGCTCTCCTCGGCGACCTTGTCGTCTTTGCTCTCCTTGGCGACCTTGTCCAGCCGCGTCTTCAACTCGAACAGTACGGAATCTTTCACAGAGTCGATGTCAATCTCGATCTCGCCATGGCTATCGGCATCGCCGAACTGCTGCTGCAAGAACTCAACGATGTGCCCCGGCAGTTCCCCAGACAGCGAGGACAGGCGACCAGCAAGCTGATTCCTCTCTTCTGGCAACATCCGCGGCGCCCGTACCTGCTCCTGCTTCTGCTCCACCAGAGTTGAGATCTTCCTCCTTTTCACCGAAGGCGCATTGAAATCTTCCTCGATTGTCTTCGGTCTCTGGTTGGAGGCCAAGAATCAATCTTTCTTGCCGGCAGTCGGTGCGCCACCCTTGCCTGCACCACGCTGGGATATAAGCTCTGCTTTCTTTAGGAGACCGCGCAAGGCATCAAGCTCAGACGCCAGGCGCTTCCGTAGGAGATCCTGGGATGACATCTTGCCGCCGACGGTTAAGACCTCCATGCCGGCGGCGGTCACGACGCTGTTGCGGTTACGGATCATCTTGGTGAGGCAAGCCGACGAGTCTCGTGCCGGCGCGACGCCGACACGAGGACGCTTCTTCCCGGACGCGCGCTCACTGGCGTCAGAAGGGGCAGTTGCGGCGCAACGAGCGACGGCGCCGGCGAAAGGGCGAACGGCAGGCGAAGGGGCGAACATGATCCGCCGCAAAGCAAGCAAACGGGCTCTAGGCGCTACCTAGACGGTGGCGAATCTCAGCCGCCGCCTGCCGAAGGGATGGAGGGAAAGCAGTTGATGGATGGGATCGAGAGAAAGATGGCGGATACGATACTTATGGCCCGGCAATTCGAGTCGAACTCTTAGGATCGCCGGAGAATTAGGAAAATTGAGGCAACTTGGAGTCGGAGTCGGAGACGAAAGCCAAGCTTCTGGATCGACTGCTCTGCATCTGGTTCCGTCTCTATTTCGGTTCACCGGTATTAATAAATGCTCGCGAACTGGCCATGTTATTTATCGCCCGGCAATTCGAGTCGGACTCGTTGGATCGCCGAAGAATTAAGAAAATTATAAAGGAACTTGCTGTTGGAGACGAAAAACAAGGTTCGGAATTGACTGCTCTGCATCTGGTTCCGTCTCTGTCAGTTGACAGACAGGAATCCTAGTCCGAAAGGCTCGCGATCGTCTTCAGGCGCCCTCCATAAAAACGCACCCGCTGGCCTGCAGCTTCTTTCTCGACACCAACAACAAAGCAACGAACCACTTGCAGTACGTTGCATGGCGACCATGGCTCGCATCCTGCTCGCCGCGTTCGTGGCGCTTCTTGTCGTCCTTAGCCCGTGCCACGCAAGGCCGGCGCCGCAACAGGCAGCGAAAGAGAAGGCGGTGGTGGACGGCATCACTGCCATCTACAACTTCGGCGACTCCCTGTCGGACACCGGGAACCTGCTCCGCGAAGGCGCCACCGGCATGCTGCAGCACACCACGGGACTTCCCTACGGGTCCTCCATCGGCGGCGCCACCGGGCGATGCTCCGACGGGTACCTCATGATAGACTATCTCGCGAAGGATCTCGGCTTGCCTCTGCTGAACCCGTACCTCGACAAGTGTAGCGTTCGCTTGGCTGATAAGCCATGACTGAAAGTACTGTCGGCTGATTTATCGTGAGATAAAAATACTATTCGTTGAATGAAAAAGTACTACTTATCAAACAAGTGAACAGGCGCTTCGCCGTGGCCGGTGCCACGGCGCTCGCGAGAGAGAGGGTCGCCGTCCCTCACACCAACAGCTCACTGGGCGTGCAGCTGCAGCGGTTCAAGGACTTCATGAGCGCCAACACCCGGTCCCCGCAGGAGATCCGCGAGAAGCTGGCTCATTCGCTTGTCATGGTGGGGGAGATCGGCGGCAACGACTACAACTACGCCTTCTCGGCGAACAAGCCGGTGGACGGCGGCGCGCGCAACATCTACAACTTCGGACGCATGGCGACCGGCGTGGCCGAGGCGATGGCGCTCGTCCCGGACGTAGTGCGGTCCGTCACGAGCACGGCCAGGGAGCTTCTGGACATGGGCGCGAGGCGGGTGGTGACTCCGGGAAACTTCCCGCTTGGGTGCGTGCCGAGCTACATGGCGGCGGTGAACGAGACGGACCCGGCAGCCTACGACGCCAACGGCTGCCTGGCGGCGCTGAACCTGTTCGCCCAGATGCACAACGTGCTGCTGCAGCAGGGCATCCAGGAGCTGCGCCGGTCCTACCCGTCGGCGATCATCTCCTACGCCGACTACTTCTACGCGTATGTGCGGATGCTGAGGGACGCCGGCAAGGCGGAGTTCGACGAGGCGGCACGGACCGAGGCGTGCCGCGGCGCTGGCGGCGGCGCGTACAACTTCGACATGGACCGGATGTGCGGCGCGCCAGGCGCGTCGGTGTGCGCGAGGCCCGACGAGCGCATTAGCTGGGACGGAGTGCACCTAACGCAGCGCGCCAACAGCGTCACGAGCGACTTGCTCTACCACAAGGGCTTAGCGTCCCCAGCGCCGGTGGAATTCCAGCGAAAATCGAGATTCAGCTTCATGGATGTTCCCATTTCAACAGTATGTCCAAAGAGACTTTGAGGTTACGCAGAAGTCAAATACTGAACACTGGAGAATCAAGTAACAATGTAGTAATAGTATAACAAATAATCAATAGTATAAAGAAAAGGATCCGTACAAAAAAATATTATCACATCTCCGTTGTTCATATACAGCTCCAGGAAAATTTTTGGTTACAAGTATCGTATCTGGAAAATCCCTATTGAATTATATGCCTATCAAAATGTATGCTGCCCTGTCACTCCCACGGTCACTGATGGCCGGCCACCCGCCTCATCCCAAAAATGAAACAAGAAAATGGAGAACACGTTGGTACTTCTTTCCTTGTTTTGCCTTTACAGTGTACAATAGTTTATTCAACTCACAATGCTACATGAAATCTGCTGCTCACACGGCAAAAAAAGCTGTCTTCCTATCCTACCTGCAGAACAGAAAGAACCGGAGTTCATATGCTTGTGAGAGAGAAATATTCCAGGAAACTTGTCTCACTTAGTATATTGCACATAGAAGTATAGAACCCATGTGGAAATCAAAATCTTATATTTTAGCCCACAGCTGCCAACCTATGTCAAGCTAATAGGTACAGCTAACCAATTTATTTTCATCTTCAAGCATATATCCGAAACAATGTGAGCCTATGGATCAGCATTTGATGCCTCTACCATCAATTTGCAACAATTTGTTTTCTTAAATTGCTATAGAAAATGAACTTTCACGGACAAATATCCACTAAAAAATCATGATTTATCTTGTGTAAAATATCTATAATCATACACCTTACTGAATTGGCAAACTACGTGCATATAGCTATTTACCATGTCAAACTGTCAACTGGGAAACACAGTAGAAATCTGGCTACAAGAATCGATGTATATACCTCAAGAAACTAGTTCATGTAGGCAACAGCGGTTGCCTCTCATCAGTTCCAACCCGATGGCTCGCCTGAAATGAAAGCCAAATTAGATGTAGCCTCTAAAATGACACATCTATTCTAAAATGGAAAATGAGATACTCACATCATCAGCGGCACCAGCAGTCATATTTACAAAAGAAGATTCAGATGACCTGTGAAAAATAAGCACCACATGAGGCCACATGTTAAAACAAACATAATAAACAGCTCGCTATTTCTACAACAACATTAACAGGCATCCCAAAGCACATGCCAAAGCTATAAAAGTCTAGATGGGGATGGACACAGTGCAAAACAGTACTTCTTCAAAGGCCAATGCTAAGTGAAACCTAAATCAAGTATAGAAGTAATTTGTTAATACCATTTGACGCGAGATAAAAACTTACCGGTGATTTTGGGTATCTTCCAACTCTATTATGTCAGCTGGTTTGTCATCTTTGACTTTAGCAAGTGGAGAGAAGAACTAAGGAGAAACGACTGTAAGATACATGAAATACAACAATGGTTGTTCAACAAAATAAGTAATAAAAGTCAGTTTACCTGGTGCATTGAAATAAACACCACTGATATGCCCAGGAGAAAATTAATGGTCAAAGTATGCCCCAAGAATGCAGCAGAAGCTAGGCCAGTAAATATTGTGGCAACAGTTGACGAATACTTCTTCAAAATTGTGTCTGCAGTGTATTTCAGTTAGACAATAGATGTGATAACTGCAATAATAATAAAGAGCAAATGTCAAAAACCATTACCTGCATACTTAAAGAAGAACGAAGATAGAATGCCTTGTGCAGCATTGTTACATATGAGAAACATTGTGGCCCTTGAATGTCCTCGAAGAATATTAAAACTTTCTGGCCCTGCAAAAAGACAGGACAATGTAATCATCATAAACATAAGGCAGACAACATACCTATCGTGTTTGCCTCAGGAAAAGGGACATTCACATCCCACCCCGGCCCCCCTACTAATCATTAGTAAATACTTTAAATTCTAATAATGTTCTACACAAAATCAGTAAGCTTTTATGAGCTATGCAGTTCGTTATGCATATCCTTTTTGTTGGTACAACTTGTTAAGACCACCATACAAAATTATTTTTCTCATTGCCATCCAGAGTGTGGACAGATAAATACAGCTAGTGGCCTAGTGCACTAGAAATGCAGCTGCCATCATCTATCAATGTAAAACTGAACTTCAAATGAAGGTGCACACCTTGGAATAAGGCAGTCCCGAGAATGCCAAGGAAGTTGAATATTGCTCCATATCCGTACAGAAACAAGTTCTACAATTAAATGGAAAAATCATTAACAGAAATAAGGGGCACTACGATAAAACAAATAGCAAGATAAGCAAATCAAACCCTTTCAATATGAAGTTGGAAAACAAAAACAAAACTACGATGGACCATACAAGCTACTCTAGAGGAACTCAAGGCCAAAGGTAAACTAATACTTTACCTGGAGATAAATGCTAGTGTCATATTGGCTTTTCAAGGCATATTCATTGTAGACAGAAGCCATTGAAGGAACAGTTACCTACAATTCATAGTAGTAAATAAATATATCAGTAACTTAAGTTGCAAGTCTACTTTTTTTATTGAGATAACTTATAAAAAGAAGTGTACATGAGGGAAAAGCAAATGAGAACAGATGGTCTAGCAGCAACTTACAAAAATCAATGTATATATGTAGGCAATAGCAGTGACAGGAAGACCAAATGCCGTATTGCCCGCAGGTACAGTTCGGAGTTGATTGATGCTGATTCCAATAAGCAATAGAGCAAGAGCTTCCCACTGTCAATATTTAAAAAAAAGGTGGGAGAAAGGCCAACGTAGCTTGAAGTCAACACTGTTGCACCTGACAAAAGCATTCTTAAAAGGAAGTACAGCATTTGATGGTTCATTTTATGCTTATATATGTGGAAAAGGCCCATCAGCTCTTAAAATTCATGTTTGGCTTCATTTCTAGCCTACACCAACTTTTTAGTCCCAACATGAGCCCCCAACAAAAGCGAAAAGAAAGTGAGAAAGAAAAGACATAGTCTAAAAGCACAAATTATTTAGCACACAATACTCCCAATCTTTAAGATAAACATAAATTATTTCAATATAATGTCAATGTTACCCTTACCTGAATAACTGAGAATCTCCTTCTCATTATAAATTTCAGAAGAACAGCTATAACCAGTACCTAGAG